TCTTCGAAAAGCTATTGAAGATAATTAAATCCTCTCTATACTAAATATATATAGCCAGAGTAATTTGTATTATAAGAACATATAAAGTATGATTTAACGGTGAAATGTGCTCATGTATTATTATTCCAAATTTAAGTAATTTTTGTCAACTTTTGATTTAATATTATCCTCCGTAGAAAGAGATTTCTTTCTTGTCCTTTAATTTTTACATACGGAGTTCCAACTAGAGAGCAATTTTAAATCATAATAAAAAATTGAGGGATAAAACTACACTTGTTTTTTCTCAAATTTTTTTGGATATGTACAAGTCCACTAGATCACGTTGGAGCTCCAACCTCCATTAATTACAAGTGTAATAGGAATTATACATTTTTTTTTAACAAATACTACGTAATTCATCTGTCCAATTTATATAACACATTTCGTTTCTTGAGAGTTAAACAATTTAAGTTTGATAGAGAATTTGCTCATGGAATTTTTAAAAATTTTAAAATGAAATCTAAATATTTGTAGACTGCATAAAAAGTACTATAAGTCACAATATTGACAATTAAAAATATTTAAAAGATACATGAAAAATTTATTGTCAAAGATAGACTTATTTGACTATCGAAATTTAAAATATGTCATGTAAATTAAAAGAGTAATAGAATTTCGAGCATTTAAGTTTGTCATGGTAGGATTGGAGGTTATCCCAAACGAAAAATCAAATGCAGACACACTTGTTGTCCAATTTGTCTATATGAATTGATAGTGAAGTAGTAAATCTCCAATTTCTACACAAACTTTGGAACATATGCATGTGATACACAGTTCTTGATTAATTTTCCTGACCAAATTAAACTAACCACGTTTAATAAATCATCCTAAACCAACAAATAATAGTGTAAAAGATCAAAATCAAACATGTTGACAAAGAGGGATGAAAATAACAACTCATAAGTACTAAAGGCTGATATTTTATTTTGGGCAATGCTAAATTGCCAGAAAAATTGGCCAGAATTTGGCTAGAAATTTAAAAAAATTATAATATTTTTTTATTTTAAAATAAATTGATTTTTTTTTCATTTTTTAATTAAAAAGTATTAAAGTTAAAAGGATAAAAATGTTCAAAAAGGTAAAATAACAAAATACCATTCGGGGCAATTTCTGGCCAAATTTTCTGGCCAAAAGAATTTTTCCTTTTATTTTATTTCTTGAATTTGGAAATAAATGGTTAAATATGGATGAAAGCAACAAATGATTCAACAAAGACCATAAGGTATACGACAATAATTTTAGCCTCCTAGACATCAGCGTGTTTCTACATGACTTGTATTTTCCATGTCACAATTTGACTTAATAACATGCTTTTAGCCTTCTCAATATTAATGTTTCTTGCTTCTACAATTCAAATTAGGTTAACGTACTGAAGTAGGTCCATTTTTAGTCGGAGATGTTGGGTTTTAAAAAGTGTGAATGGAAAATGAAGAGTTACGATTTTTATGAAGAGTTGTGACTTTAATGAAAAATTGCGACTTTTATGAAAAATTGTGATTTTTATGAAAAGTGGAGACTTTTATGAAATGTTGCGACTTTTATGAAAGGTTGTGACGTTTATGAAAAGTTGTGACTTTTATGAAAGGTTGTGACCTTTCCAAAAGATTGTGACTTTTCCAAAGAGTTGTGACATTTCTGGTAAGGTACAATAAGAACTTTTTCACACTACCCTTTGTTTTCTATAAATTGAGGAATTTCCTCTCATTTTAAGAGAACCAATTATCTGAACTTCTTCTACTACTACTATTAAATCTGGTATTCTAAGTGTACTTTACTGCCGTTGAGTGGTTCACTGATACCGTGATTTTAGGTACTGATGCACCGGTGAGTAAGATCGTTTTATCCTGAGAGAATATATTTCATTAACCTCGGATACTTGATGAGAATAATTTTCTTAAGGGGACGCTGTGCATTCAGTGGGCTCGATTTTCTTTTTTGAGAAAAATATTTAGTATATTGTTTCTAATCTGTTTCTGATTCTATTTTCTCTACTGGTTTGATTTTCTAGTTTTGAAAATGCTCTTTAAACTTTGTTGTTTCTTATCAAGTTCTTCAAAGTTTTTATTTAATTATCTTAGAAATACAAGATGAACAACAAGAGATTCAAGAAATCCAAGACAATAATCCTCTCATTTTTTATTTAAATAACGGAAGTAGAGAAATGTCCACCTTATGTTGTGTAATGTACCATATTTTTGTCCTCCTACTCTTTCACATTTTTAGACCTATACATATACTCATTTTCATAGTTATACCTTGTAATAATGTATTTAATCTTAGTAATGATAACAGTATTATTAGGAGCTAAAAGATATTAATTAAGAGAGGTTTGTCCTATATATTCCATAATGTGTCAATTGGGTGAATTAAGAAAAAAGAGGGATGGGATTTGTCTCGTTTTTTGGGTCCAGTGAGGGCTCTCAGCGCAGTGAACTACCTTAAAAAATAAAGAAAAAATTATGGTCGATAAGGTTAGATTAGTCAAAGCCATTGAAATTTTGATTTTAAACATAGAAAAAAATTGTTTTGTTATTAATCATTTAAGTCATCCACGGCCTCTTAAAGTTATTCACATAATTCATTTAGACACCTCAACTATGACTCTTACCTATTAGACACTTTAATATTAGCGAATATTTATCTATTGAACATAAAATGACAACTAGCTTTACAAATGTTGTGCGTGTAATTCACACACTTTCTTAAAAAAATCACGAATAGAATTACGACACGTGACACATGGGTCCAAATTTTTAATTTTGAAAAATGAAAAATATTTTCAGCCTTTAATAATCTAGAAAAATAAATTGAAAAAAGAATAAAAAAGAAAATTTCTCCCCCACTTAATCCATTGCCCTTTCTTCTTCATCTTCTTCCCCGTCACTACACCATGATGCCTTACTGATAACAAAAAAGAAAATATCTCCCACCAGCCCTAATACACCCACCTAATCTTTTGCCTTTATTTTTCTTCCCCTGTCACCCATTGTATTCTATTCTTCCTGTGATTATTGAGATTTTTGTGAAAATAATCGATGTCGATAAATTATTTCAAAATCGACGATGAAGAGAAATCAAAAGAATATCAATTTTTTTATACCATTTTTAATAAGTTTAATGAATGGTGATGGTTGCTTGATCGGAGTTATTGAAAATAGAGATGCATGAATTTCGGCTAACTTTTTAACTCCAATGGTCCGATTATTTTCCTTCTTCTTGCAAATTCAAATGGTTTGTTTATAACGAAAAATGAAAAAAAATAAGAAGAGCAAAACAAAAGGCAGAGAATTTGAAGTCTTTAAAATGGTGGGTTGAAGAAGAAGAAGAGGACTTGTACATGGGGTGTGGGGTTATTTTCTTTTATAAATAAAGAGATAAATGTTTAATTAAATGAGTTTTTAGTTATTTAATTAATACATGCCAAGTGTCAAGAAAATAAGCACTAATTTATTTTTAAAAATTAAAAGGAAAGGTTAATTCACGGGCTTAGTGAGTTACACTTATTTTGCCACATCAGAGTTTTGTGTTTAATAGGTATATGTTTTGAACAATTTAGGTGTTCAATAGGTACGAGTCCTAGTTGAGGTGTCCAAGTGAATTATGCGGACAACTTTAAGAGGCTATAGATGACTTAAGCCTATATCATATCATATTACATTAAACGTGGGAAGGTTAAGTCTAAAGGTGAATTACAAAAATGCCCTTCGGCTTTCTTAATTAAGTTATCCGCGAAAAAATCATCGATCGAAATTTTATACAATTTCCATAAAAATAAATTATTTGTTATTGTATAGTTAGTAATTAAGCAATGAAAAATGAGTTTACATATGATCCACATTGCAATTCATCGTTCGTAGGTGTGTAACTATACAGAGACTACATATTCATATTTTTTTTTCATAATGGTGTCTTAGTAGTGTAGGGATCTTTCTATCATTCTTCTAAATATCACAATTGTTCCTTTTTTTTAATCTAATAATATATTCTCTTGTCATTTAATTGGATCTATCAAATATAAAATTATTCAAGAAATATTATTAAAAGAAGAGATCTCTTAAAAGAATGATCATAAGTAAAGAAAAGGGACTCAACATGTGCTTTGGTTCATGATTGCATGCAAGAACTTAATTTTGATAGAACATGTTATACTCCTCCCTCTCTTTATCCAAACTTTGTATTTTTACACTTAAATTATTTATTATATTAATATTAGTCATATATACAAAATTAAATTTTATGTCGTGAATCGTGATAAAATAACAAGAATATATGAGATCCGATCATAATAAAAATACCAATACAATAGCAATAAAAGTCAAAGTCATGAACAAGCAACAAATCGTCGGGGTGGAACCTACATTGAGAATAATATCTATAATAACATAATTGGGATATACGTAAATGTGATTTTGTCTGCTCTGAGACTAGACCCCCATAACTTTAAAATCCATCACTAGGATATAAGACATGTTTACTGATAAGTTGAACATTTTTCTTGTGTTGTTTTTGTCGATATGAGACTTTTATCCTAAGCTAAGGTATCACAAGTCAACATGAATTATATCACATTATGTGTCGAGAGTATCTTTAGGCCGTTTTAGACCAATAATATGAGCCTTGCAAAACATAGTCGTTTCCAAATCCAGATGAATATGCAACCGTCAGTACAAGATTATTAAACATAATTACCGAATCAATATATTAATAGTGGCGAAATCAGAAATTTTGTCAAGGACGTTCAAGATTTATTATGTATGTATAAAAAGTAGTTTTTGGCCTATATACAATTTTCTCTATACAAAGTATAAAGTTTGATGAATATTGACCACCTTTCGTTCTACGTAGCTCCACCACTGCGTACAATCATTTATTTTTTCTATTCAACAATGTAAATGTATTACAACAATGTGAATTGATATTAAAGAAGACAGCCTGTACCAGGAAATTAGAATACCATATGAAAATGAAAGAAGCAAGTTGCTTATTATATACTGATCAGTATTTTATTCTCACTACCATAACATAACCACTAGTTTAATTCTCTCTTTTTCTCATTTGCTTAGTGCAATTCTCTGAGCATAAATATACAAAAACTCATGTTAGTGATCACAATAAGCATTTCCAAAACATCCTGAAATCATATCTTGATCATCAAGAGAACATGTCTAGTCAAGGACAAAAAAATGGAGAGGTTTGGTTGACGTGGGAAGATTTGTGGGTGACGGCTTCAAGCTTGAAAGATGGAAACAAAGCCATTCTTAAAGGTTTAACAGGCTATGCAAGGCCTGGTGAGCTCTTGGCTATCATGGGCCCTTCTGGCTGTGGCAAATCCACACTTCTCGACACAATAGCAGGTATATATATTTCACCACTTAGATTTTATATACAATACTGATAGCCACGTAAATAATTTTTACACTATAGTTATCATTTTGTTGACCTGATCGTCAATGATATAGTCGGTGTATACAAGTTCAGCTCCAGTAAACACCCCCACCCAGGCAAACTTATGTTATGTATGTATATTATAATGTCATCAGGGAGATTGGGATCGAACACAAGGCAGAGTGGTAATATTCTAATCAATGGCCGCAGACAAACACTGGCATATGGATCCTCCGTAAGTAAATTTAAGAATCAATTACTGTTTGTGAAACAGTCTAGCTATCAGCAGTGTATTATCTCTTGGAGATCATCAAAAGAAAAAAGTGCAAGTGAGAAAGAAGTTGTTAATATGATTGAGGAAACTTTAAAATCTCAATTCTTGAAGTTGGAATATTAATGGAAGTATTTCAAATATTATAACATTAATAAGATTTGATGAAACCAGGCCTATGTAACTCAAGAAGATACTCTAATGGCAACACTCACGGTAAAAGAAGCCGTATACTACTCAGCTGAACTACAACTCCCAAATTCCATGCCAAAATCAGAGAAAAAACAAATAGCAGACATGACATTGAAGGAAATGGGGTTGCAGGATGCAATGGAAACAAGAATTGGAGGATGGAGCGGGAAAGGAATAAGTGGAGGACAGAAAAGGAGAGATTTTAACGCGCCCAAAACTTCTCTTTCTTGATGAACCAACTAGTGGACTTGATAGCGCAGCGTCTTATTATGTCATGAAAACAATTGCAAGCCAATGTCAGGGGAGAACTATTATTGCCTCAATTCATCAACCTAGCACTGAAGTTTTCAGTCTATTTCATTCTTTATGTCTTCTGTCTTCTGGAAGAACTGTCTACTTTGGCCCTGCTAGTGCAGCAACTGAGGTGAGCATATATATTATTTGAGTTCTTGAAATGTTATACTAAGTTAATCAACAAAATAAAGCCAGCTATAAGAGCAGCCATGTCTACCTCACCTCAACAAATCAATTCGGCAGAAACACCTTTACATGTATTAGCTGCCTAAATTTCAGTGATGATAGGGTAACATATATATATTTACAACATCACAGTGTATATAAGTTAAATCGTTTTCATGTTGTTATAGTCTATTTCCTGTAATTGCTGTTCTGTTTTCTCCCTGCTCCAAAATCTAGCAGATGATGACTACCTTAATGTAGTATGGATTTTGATTACACAAGTATTTAAGTGTGATTATGCAATTCTCTCCTTTATTTTGTTAAGCCTGAGGCTAGCAAATTCATTTATGGAATTGATATGTATGGTGCTGACTGCTGAGTATATGAATTGAGCATGTGAAAATATTTTTTTATAAGGAAAATGGTAAAAAAAAATCTTCTTAAATTATGCATAATTGAACAAAAATACCCTCAATTAATAGTTTGGTCTAAAAATATCCATTTCGTCAATAGTTTGGTAAAAAAATGTTTATATTGTTACTTAAGAGGTCAAAAATGCACTTTTTCTAAATAACTATATTAGGAAAATATATTATTTTATTTCTTTTTAAACACAACTTTTTTTACTAGTAAATTTTCTCAAATAGTTATCTTACTTCAATTCGAAAAAGTTTAAGAAATACAAATATTTTCTATTTTATAAGAAATTTTTTCATCATTATTGAAATGAAATTAATGATAGGTTACTGTGATATTGTGTGTGTGTGTGAGAATGAGATTAAATTTTTTTATTTCCTACTCATTTATCATGATTTTAAAAGAAAATAAACAAGAATAGGGTTGTTTAAAAGTAATAACCCTATTCATTTCTTTTTTCTCCATAGTGCTGTATCACTTATCTTTTTTGTAACTTATAGGCATTCCTCTCTTCCAATTGATGCGAACCTATTTCTTGTCAGTCCATTTCTAAAACACTGAATCGTTCTAAATTTAGAAATAATGTGGTGTAAATTTGTCATCTTATCTTTAATGAGAAGTTTTTATAGTCACACGACGTTAATGTTTAATTAAGATCATAAGTTTTAAAAGTTTTCTAACTATATATAATATGACATGTTTAAAGACATAAAGTAACGAAAATATTCATTTCTTTCTTAAAATTATATGTCCATTCTCATAGGTTCACAAAATATAAACTGCCATTGAGAGAATAGAACAAAATTAGTAGTGGATGGTGTTTTCCTAAATAGAGCAAAATAAATTAAAAATCTAACATGTTGACAAAGAGGGTAATAACAACAAATAAGTAAAGGCTGATATTTTCCTGGATTTGGAAACGTATGGTGAAAATCAGCATATGTAAGACAAACTCACAACAAACTTTATCAAGAAAATCAGACCCTATATATGAGTCTTTATTACATGTATAAGCACTACTAGCTTGTGATTTGTCTCACTACCACAACAAACCAGGGCAGAGCTACCGTGTCTGTTATAGAATATCTAGATTTTTTTCAAGTACAAATATCAAAAACACTACACACTACAATACAATAACTTTCGAGACTCTTCTTAATGTCTATAATTATAAACCAATATTACAGAGTTGAATAATACTACCATGGCAAATCAAGGACCGATCCAGTTTTAACTAGAAAAAGCAATCATAAACCATAGTTAGGGGTATACATGGCCGGGTTGGTTCGGGTTTTTCAAATATCAAACCAAATCATTTGTGTCGAATTTTTAAATCTATAAACCAAACCAAACCAATAAAACTCAGGTTTTTCAAATTTTCGGATTTTTTCGGAAAAGTATTCATACAAACATATAATTTACTTGTACTTCAAATATTTATTTAGTCCTACCAAAATACAACTATCTAAGATGTTTCTTAAAAATATAATACAATATGATATGATTAATGACACTAAAATATCCAA